GTATTTCTCAATAATTTTATGGCATCCCTTGCTAAGACCATATTACTATCAGAAGTAAGAGAATGAGTTGTAATTTAGCATAATATTCTGACTTTATGTAACATTTAAAATACTATCACTTTTTGGGTCTGGTTTTCTCACATCACAATGATGCTCTTGAACTTAAAGGCTTTCAAGCTGCTGTTTTGAGAGCTGCCACTTCCTTCTGTAATTTTAATAAGAACTACTCCACCATTGACTATTTTACAAATTAGACTTTAATGAAGCTTTCTAAAAATCTGTAAACTAGACACTAGAAAGTTGTCCCATTTATTCTAAATGTAATCTATTCTTCCAACATTAAATTATCACTAGTTAAGAAACAACTACAGGTTGGCAAGTTAAGATGCTGACGGGTTATTTGGGCCCTCAGTATTTGTAAAGAACCTCAACGATTAAAAAACAAAACAAAAAACCTATGTCTTTTTAAGAAGGTTAACCACCTCCTCCTGAAAGGGGCTGCGTGGAAATTTCACGTTTGTTGTTTGTTGCCGGCAGTATAGGCCTGGCTTCCTGGGTATGTATTGTTAATGCCTCGCTTGCATAGTTCATTTTTGCATGCTCGTATGATTTTGATTTGTTTTCCTCCTATCCCCTTCCTCTTGCTTTCCCATGACTTTGAAGTTTAACTAAGTTTCTCTTTGAGAAGTAGAACGACCTTGGAGGGTAGAATAACTCATCTGCAACGTGATATTAACAGTGCAAAATGACCTTCAAGGATTGCCAGGTACAGAATGTAACCACCGGAAAAAAACAATAATTTTGTCCATATAAAAACTTTCAGCGAGTCTCCAAAGGGGAGACGGGTCTTTTGGAGGAGCTCATTCCCCTCTGTCTCCTGTATATCGATGTACAATAAAACCGTCTTGCTGCTCACCTCGCCCGTCTCAGTATTGGCTTCTGCGGCAGCAGGCTCAGAACTGCCATTGTGGTAACACTCCTACTTTATCCTTTAATTTTTCTCCTTTCTCTTTCTTGTTAAAATTGTTTTCTTTATTATTTTAAGCAAAAATGGCAAGGCTCACTCTAAAATTTGCAAATTGAGAACTAGTGGATTGTAAATAGTTGAGGAATTAATTTCTTTATAACAAACTTTTTAAAAAATATCAATTATACTCACTGGGTTCTTGAGGAACTCGTTATTTATTATACAGATCATATGTGCCCATTCCTCTTCTAAGATCTGCAGAATTATGCCAGAATCTAACTTTTGAGTTTACAATCTGGTTTAATGTGAGATTTGTAATTTAAAGTGGCAGTTAGAAACTATTTCAAGAAACTGCACAACTCTTTGTTATTTGGTATTTGATGAATTAAGACAATGGAGCAGTGGCATTAAGTGGTGGGAAATGAAAGTATGTTAGAGTCCTGACTGGGGGATAAATAGAGAAGCAGAATTGATTAATGGAAAAGAGCATTAGCTTGGACAGCAAGCCATTCTCTGAATTCTGGCTTAGCCGCAATTAGATGTATGATTTTGGGTTTCATTTTTTCTCATCAGTAAAATGGAATACTATCTAATTGACAGGCTGTGTGTGTGTGTGTGTGTGTGTGTGTGTGTGTGTGTGTGTATCTGGCTCATAGTAGGTACTCAGTAAATGACGGCTACCACAAATGTCTATCCTTTGAGTGAGTAGATCATAAAATTAAGTTCCCAAATGTTCCTTCTTTTCCTTTTCCATACCCATTTCTATAGCAATCAATTATATATATAAAAGTTTGTACTTTTCCATAAGAAATGTTGCAAAGAAAATCTTTGTCTCCTACTAGGTATGGGTGATAAAATATCGATTTCTTAACTTTGATTTGCTTAGCGTGTCATTTGTCATTTATGAAGTAAAATAAATTAACCACTTTGTGGTATGTAAGTCCAACTCTGAGTTTTCTTACCTATTCCAAAATTTTATTCATCTGGGACCTTATGTATTATTTTCTCCAAAATTAAGGCAACAGTTTTGTTAAATCACCAACATTTATATTTTTCAGTTATATTTTGGGCTGCTTTGGCCCCTGAAATGAACACATTCCCTTTGAAGTTATCCAACTTTTTTACTTGCCTAGAAGGAATAGTTGCAAAATATGGATGGAAAAAAAATCCTCTGCATGAAAAGGGGGGAAAATATCCAATGCTTTACAGTCTCAGTCAGCAGATTTAACTCCATTTTAGAAAAAAAGAAACAATTTTATTGGAAACAGATGTTGACGCTGTGTCAGTTATTGAAGGTGGAGAGAGTTCACGCGAACTAGTGCAGTTACAAAGGGGTATTGATGGCAGTTAGAAATCCTGTGATTGATCACCTTCACAGCCAACAGAAGGACAGGAGAGACTGTACGAGGCTAAAATTGAAATGAGTCCACTGAAATGTTGTACAGGACATTAAAAATGCAACTTTGTTTTCTTCCCTCCAGAGTAAATGACACACAGCTTTCACAAAAGAATAAGGGCTTGTTTGAGAGGGAAATCAGAGTTTATTTTCTAAAAACATGGCCCAAGAGAATTTTAAAACTACTGTTAAAACATCAGAACTATTATTAAGATGTTTTTTGAAAACTCAAGCTGAAGTTTTAGGCAAATAAAACCATGTGGAAGACTAATCTGTAAACCATACAAAAAAGGGTTAGTTTGCGTTGAGTGGGGCATGGGTGGAGCTTTTAAGGAAACCTCCATTTCAATAGCTTCAAATTGCCAATTGTTTTGGTAACTTGGTCATGGAGATTGGTCACAGAGCAGACTTTAGGAATTTTTCAGTAGGTTTTTCCATTTTAGTGCTCTCTGGGAATTTTACCCTATACGCTTTTCCGCCCTACAGAAATAATCATTATTGTTAAAATATCTTAATTCTAAAATGGCTCTTACTGTCCATTGTGCTTTTTTGCTTGTTTGGAAAATGTTTCTATTATTTTAAATAATTGATGAAACTAGTGTTTTCTTGCAATTGCACTCAAATTAATTTGGTCCAGTGAATTTGCCTGAATCTCTTTTGTAAGTTCCAAGGAACATTAATAGATTTCAGTGTAATTTACAAATTCTATTGTGTGAGTAATTAATGAATCCTACAAAAGAGCAGGTCATCATCAATTAGTTTCCTTTTTAACAATTTCTCATTACTCAGTTTTGACCTAAGAATAACTTTTAGGATACAGGATTCTTTAATTAGTGTTTTTGGTATATGCATATGATGTGAACTTTTACAATTTCTCTTTATACTAATAGAGATGTACATTTTTTTCTGTGCTGTGGTTAGGGCAAAAGTTATTAATGATTATTTACACACTCAATTTAATTTCTTAGGCTATTTACAATCTTGAATATTATATCTGATTTAAAAATACTATTCCATACCTTTTTCAGGATATACAGCATAGGGAAGTATTTTCATTTGACTTGTTTGTTATCATTTGTAAGTGCGTATATTGCAAGAGAAAATATGCGTTCGACTTGTTTTCATCTTATAAATCTAGGTAAGGTGAAATACTTTTATGAAAAAGAATTACACAATATGGTGAACTTTATATTTCTCACTTGATTAAGCAAACTCAAAAGTAATAATAGAAATATCTTACAGTGTTGAAACGTGATGAAATTCAAGATGTTTAGTTCTAGGAACAATTTTATGCTAGCTTAATTTTACCTGTCAAGAAAGAGAAACTAATTTTAGCTATGATGTCATTCTGAATTGACAAAAATATATAATTCATAAAACTTCTGGTTTACAAGACAATTAAAAAATTTTTTTTCTGTTATTTTGTTGCATGGGGATGGGGGGGAGAGACATTTTCTCATTTCTGTTCACTCTTCCAATCTAGGTTCCAAACTATGTGTTGATGATATAAGATGATGGAAGACTTTGTAATAAAAACATGTCATTATCTTCAATTTGTTCAATAAATAATTTAATGTGAAATGAGTGTTTACATTTGAATTTGGTTTGGTCGGCAATTCTTGACAATTAACTAAAGCTCTCTTGTGTCCTTCTTATTCAACTAAGGAGCTTATAAATATCTTCAGAAATTTATATGAGGTTAATTTCTATAGCCAAGGAAATGTATATGTTGCTGTGAGAAGGAGAATATAAACAAGTACTTATAATGGAAGAGCAAATGAAATGGGCAATACTAGTTACATAAAAGCAGGAGCCTTGAGACATTTAATACGTTTAATAACCTTTTTAAGGCTATCAGTTGTCTCTTTAAAGGGAGGTGTGTTTCGTTGTTTTCTTTATACATTTGTTGGTACTTTGACTTGCCATAAGCACTATGAAAAACAAAACTTGCCCACAATTAATTGATATTGAAGAAGGAGGCACCTGGAAAGGAGAATTACAAGTGCTTATATTCTGAAGGAAGCTAGAGTTTCCCTGCATGGGTGTTCTATTTTCTTATTAAATCAGTCTTTAATGAGAATGTGCAAAAGCCTGGAAATGAGTATTTAAATCAGTTGACACTCCAGCATCACAGGTGGAATAACTTGGCACAGGCTCCTTAACTATCTGTCACATTCAGACTCTACCAGTGTATTAGTGTTCTGTGGCTGCTGTCAAAAATCATAATAACCACGAACTTAGTGGCTTAAAACAACACACATTTATTATCTTATAGTTTTGTAGGTCAGACGTTCTGCACAGGCCTCACTGGGCCAAAATCAAAGTGTTGGCTGCATTCCTTCTGGATGCTCACAAGGAGAATCCATTTTCTTGATTTTTCTAGCTTCTAGATTCCTTGGCTCATGGCTCCCTGCCTTCATCTTCAAAGTCAGCAATGATTGATAGAGCCCTTTCTACATCGCATTACTCTCATCTCCTCTGCTTTTCTTTTCCACTTTTAAAGACCCTTGTGATGCCATGTAAGGTAACATTCATGGGAATTAGGATGTAGACATTATGAGTTCCCATTTTTCTATCTACCACAGTTAGTATCGGACTTCAATCATTTTTTATCAGTTTCTTCATATTTTATCTGAGAGGACTCAAGGAATAGTATTTGCATGGACGTTTGTGTGAGGTTCATCTTCATTCACAGAAGTAATTGCATTTGAAGAAAATTTCTGTCACTATTTCAAACATTTCACGTGGTTCTTATGTTGCCTCAGAATCCAAAGGGTTATGTGGTATTTATGTAAGACAGGCATTCAGGAGGGTGGAGAGCAAGACATCTGGTGTGGATTCTTCCTAGCTGAAGTGTGTTTTCTCTGGGGACAACCAAATACCATTTAATTGTTTTGCTTCCTTTTTTGGGAACGTATACCCATCCTGTGATGTCCTAAGTCCCCAAGCATCTCATTTGACCTGTCAATGCTCATTTGACTAAATATCTATATATGACCACACTGGTGTGGTGAAGTTTTATGCTTCTGTCCAGATTAAATCATTACATCTGCTATCAGTTAAGGAGTGGAAAAAAAAAATGTTATGAGAAGGCAAAAACTGTTTTGATATATTTAATGTGTCTAGTAGGTATCCATGCTCTGGAATGCTGTTGATCAATAAATGACCTTCAAGACTGTTAGAAACAACACTCAGGCACAACTGTTTTACTTTCCATACCAAGTTTGGCTGTGGCTGAATGAAGAACACCAGCATTGATCTTTGCTTTGCACTTGTACAAGAGACTATTTGCACAGAGCCAAATATAGCAACAGAGGATTTAATATCTTGCCAAAATATACAAAATCTGTTCCTCTTTAAGCATGACACTCTATCCTTTTCTTGTGGATCTTGCTAAAAGGAAAACACAGCTTTCAACTTCTCCATTCCTTCTGTTGGAAATTCTCTAATCTTTTTCAAACGGGCAACGTGTGGTTTTGTGGAGTTTGATGTTTCCAAAAGAAAATGGCTACATGAGAAATCGGTTGCAGTGTTACCATTTTTTTTTTTTTAATAAGCAAACACTTTCAAATCAAATCTTAGGATAAATTAGAATAAGAATAATTAGTAATTTAGAATCAATCACGGTTAGCTGATTTCAGGGCTAACCGGGTATTACTGGATGGTGGTCTCTGTTATTTTTTTTTGCATTTAGCCAAAACTTGAAAAAAAAGAAAAGATTAACTCCAGCCAACCAGGTGCTTTGTTTACTCTGGACCATGGATAAGTCACCAGATTTCACTATAGTGTGGTCAATGGCCATGCCTCCTCTGCTCAGCTTATGATGTATAGACAGAATTTTGAAACAGTTTTGCAAACATCAGCAAGAAAACAGCTTTCCACAGTGACAGATTTACCAGACATCTCCGTGTGGGATTTTAAAACAAACACGAGGCTGTTTGGAAATACTTGGTATATGTAAATATGCAAAAAATGCTGAACAGTGCTAACAGCTGTAGGGTGTACTCTCTCATCCTTGAGCAGAATATTTTGGTGGCAGTGGTGGTTATTTTTTCCATCTTTGTCATTTTTCTTTCCCCCTTGTCTCCACCCACTCACCCCTCCACAATCTCCTTCTTCTAAGGCATGTACTTAACACCCTGCTTCCAAAGGATCATTTCAGTAGATTACCACTGGGAAAGGTGGGTGGTGGCTTTACAATCTTGTAAAGGCTGGGCTTCGGGGAACTTGCTTGGACTTGCTGTGACACCAGCCTTGCACACAGCCCAGACACTCTGTAGGCCAGATTCCATTAAGACTTGTCACTGCAAGGGGATGAAAAGTCCTATAAAGTGGACTTCCTGTCATGATGATCCCAAAGAGCACAGAGTAATCATTTTAAGCATGCATTATCAGGTTTTGTAACTTCAAGACACCCATCCAGTTATAAAAATAAGCATATGCCTTATTCTATTGGAAAGACCCAATAGAAGTTAAAATGGAAGTTCCTTCTCAGAGGATTTAGACAGATTGAAGATTTGGAGAGGGGAAAGCAGCAAATGTGAAGAAGGAAGCCTCAGATTCTATGACCAGCTCCACTGGTAATTTGTTGTATCATTTGGTCCCATGTTACCTTAGTTTTCTTATTTGTTAGATGAGATTTGTTTTGAAGAACAAATGAAATACATTTAAACTGCTTTGGGAAAACTAAAAGCACTACACAGATACAAAGATACAGGGACTAATATTTAGTAAAAGCCTTTTACATACCAAGGCACTTGTGTGTGCAAAGGGTTTGCTCTCAACTCCTAACCTAAAAGTTGGCGGTTCACACCCACCCAGCGACACCATGGAAGAAAGGGCTGGTGAACTGCTTCTATAAAGATTACAGCCAAGAAAAGCCTACAGAGCAGTTCTGTGTAACACATGGGTTCACCATGAGTCAGAATCAAAGTGATGGTAATGAGTTTATTTTTTTGGTTTTATATACCATGAGCATTATATGAATTTATCTAAAGCAACTCTCACAAATAGCAATAAATAGATAGCGTTATTTGGGAGGCTGTTAGCACTATATTAAAAAAAAAAAAAGAAAAAGAGGATCTGAGTTTTAGCAACGCTACTTGGAAGCTGTGTGTCCTTGGGCAATTTACTTAACCTCTTTAAATCTCAGTTTGCTCATCTGTAAAATGAAGCTATTAAAAGTAACTACTTCATAGAGTTGTTACGAGGATTAAATAAAGAATATAAAGCATTTAACAGTAAGTAAATACTAACTGGAAACGCTGGTGGCATAGTGGCTAAGAGCCACGGCTGCTAACCAAAAAGTGGGCAATTCGAATCCACCAGGCGCTCCTTGCAAATCCTATGGGGCAGTTCTACTCTGTCCTATAGGATCACTATGAGTCCGAATCGACTCGACGGCAACGGGTTTGGTTTTTGTTTTTGTTTTTGTTTTTTAATACTAACTAATGCTTTTCTTTTTATTAATCTTATTTTTTAATAATTGAGGGAACTGAGGATATCAGCAGATCAACACTTGCCCAAGGATACTCAGCTACTGAGGGACAGAGGCAGGACTCGAACGCAGGTTTAACCCTTTGCAGAATATCAGAATACCACACCCCCCACAAAGTTGTTTCTGTTATCAATTCTGAATATATTTGCTGTGATTAGATTTTAATAATCTCTTAGTCAACTAGAATAAAAGAGGCAATACAAGTAACTAAAAATGGCCAGAAAGTAGACTGGGGACACTGAGTGACAGTAATGTGCATTTGGTAAGCCAAACAGAGATATGACCGACTTTGGGAGTGTAGAACGCTGTTTGTAACTTGGGAATACAGAATCAATTCATTCAAACTTTCTTTTGGTATGAAGGATTATAGTTTTTTTCCTTCTCAGGTCAACCTCAAATCTCATTAAAAGAGTGAATGATGAACGTGAAGAATTACATAGCTTCTTTGTGTCGACATCTTATTTTTTTAGCTGAAAATGTCAACGCCCTAATCTCCTCAGGTGACAAGCTCTTGTTCTGTCTGCTAAAAAAATGAATTTTGATTCTGATTGTTTTTTATATGGAATGAAGGTAGTGAATGTGAAGTATCTTCGTTTCTCACACCCTGAGTATGTGCTGGGGCAGGACTGAAAGTGATGGAAGAAATCATTTGAAAACACACAGTTATCCCAACTGGTGAAATGCATCCGCTTGCAGCTTCTCTGTCAGCAGGCTGAGAGGCCTGCAGGAAGATAAAGTTTTCATCTTACCCCTTACTAGCCAGCAGTCTGACCTCAAAAAAAGTATCTTCCTCATTAGGAAAAAAAAGAGAGATGATAATACCTACACTTTAGATATGTGGATTTAATAAGATAATGTATAAATGCTTGCAGAAGCTAAACTTCTTAGGAAACAGGATTTCATGTATTAATTAAAAATAGTCCCAATTTATTAGGTATCTATAGCTAGGCACCATACAAATTTACCTTAGCGAATCCTCCAGATGACTTCTTCCCACGTCATAGATGAGAAAACTGAGTTGCAGAGATGGTCAATGAATTGCGTAAAGCAGAATAAGAATTCAATACTCAGTCTGTCTAACTTCATTTCTTTTCTGCTCTACCAAGCTGCCTCTCAATCTTCTAACCAGTGAATCTGAGCACCTACTGTTTGCTCACATTCATGTAGAAAAGTGTACATAGGGAAAGACCTTATTCTGGGTAAGGGGGTATCTTTACTTCTACACTGCTTATACTGAAACTAGCTGTGCTCCCTGACCTAAATTAGTGGTCAGTGAATTACACAGTTCAATTATCATGAAGCTTAACTGGAAACTTGAGTCCAATTTCTGCACCAGAAATCAGATTGTCATAAACTTGTAGAAGAAGGAGATGATTTATCCTCCTTTTCTCCCCCCAAATACCATGAAAATAGAGCAAGAGAAACTTTCTTGCCCCTCAAAACTCAATGTGTATGTGTATACATATATATGTCTATGTGTGCATGTGTATACTTATATATGTTATATGCTATATATATTCATTTATATATGTATACACACACACGTAGACAAGCCAAATGGCACATTTTTCAATTGTTTGCATTTATTTTGAAGGCAAAGCATTAAAAATTGTTCCAGTCAATATAGGCTAGCTTATGCTACAGTTACAACCTTCCCCCTTCCCCAACCAAATCTCAATGATTTCAAAAAATGATTGATCATTGTTTGCTCATGCTACAGTCCAATGCGGACTGGTAAGAAGCTCTGACCATCATGATCTCTTAGGGAGCAGACTGACAGTAGCATCCCTCACTACCCTGCAGGAGTAAGGGGGCAAAGTGAACTGGGCACCAGCTCTGAAAGCTTTCACCTCAGCCCATCATAAAGGCACTTCCACTCAAACTTCATTGGCTGCCAAAGTCAGCTTCAAACAGGATGAGGAATTGCAATCCTACCATGTGAGCAAAAACAGAAGAAACATAATACCACAAATATTCCCCCTATTAGAAACCATAAAAGAATTTACTGTTACTGATGTATGGGCTTCATGTAGTTTGGTCTTTCTGGTTCACATTAAAAAAAAATAGCAGTGTAAGTACTCTTAAAGTTGGCAGTTGGCTCAACACACAAACCATATATATATATATATATAATTATGTGATTGACCTTCTTCTTTCACCTTTCATCTTGGCAATTTTCATGCCTGGAACTTGTGCTGTATTGGGCATCAAGACAGAACTAATTTATCCAGTAAACTATTTTCAAGGATGTCATTTTTGATGGGCATGACAGTTTTTGTTAAAACAAGACATGCAACAATAAGAGAGGACACACTGCCTCTCAAATCCGTTTCCGAGCATGCTATAATATTTGGTTTCCAGTGTTTTTTCCTTCACCGTTTGATTTTTCTACAGGGTCACCTACGTATGCGGACAATACTAACACAAGGAAAACAAAGTAGTGAGTTCGATCCCGAGGGTCCTGGTCTTGAGGTCAGATGGATGTTAACCCTTTTCCCTAGACAATTTTCACAGAGGTATAGTGTCTTCAGAAGGAGCCCTGGTGGCGCAGTGGTTAATGCGCTCGACTGCTAACCAAAAGATTGGCGGTTTGAAACCAACAGCGGCTCCAAGGAAGAAAGATATGGCAGTCTGCTTCCGTAAAGGTTTATAGCCTTGGAAACCCTATGGGGCCTTTATGAGTCGGAATTAACTCAATGGCAGTGGGATAGTATCTTTATTATTTGAAATAAGCCAAACTACCCTCTAATCAGGCAGTATACATTCATACAAACAAGTCTTAGGAATGCCCATTGTTTTCATGGAAATATTCTCAGATCAACCACATCTCCTTGGTCTTTGCTCCACTTCTGGGCCCGTGAGGCTTCTGAACTCTCTGTCCAGGACTCTTGGCCCATGATGACCCCCTTAGACTTGTCAACAAAATTCAACTTCTTTGATATTGACATCTATATTGTACCCCCCAGGGGAGGTTTTAGCCTGTTTTTACTTCTTTGGCTACTCATAGTAGGTCTTTCCTACCCCAACCCTGCTGAGCTCCGGCTGCTTGAGTGAGCCAGATCAGGCAGTTCTGTCTTAGCTATCTAGTGCTGCTGTAACAGAAATACCACAAGTGGATGGCTTTAACAAAGAGAAATTTATTCTCTCACAGTCTAGGAGGCTGGAAGTTCGAATTCAGGGGGCTAGCTTTACGGGAAGGCTTTTTCTGTCAGTTCTGGGGGAAAGTTCTTGCCATTAATCTTCCCTTGGTCTAGGAGCTTCTCAACACAGGGACCCTGGGTCCTGGCGCTACTTTCTTAGTGATATGAAGTCCCCATCATCTCTCTTTTTTATCTCAAAAGAGATCCACTCAAGATACAACCTAACCTTGTAGATTGAGTCCTGACTCATTAACATAATTCCCTCTAATCTTGCCTCATTAATAGCAGTAGGATTTACAACACATAGGAAAATCATATCAGTTGACAAAATGGTGTACAATAACACAATACGGGGAATCATGGTCTAGCCAAGTTGACACACATTTTTGGTGGACACAATTCAATCCATAACATTGCCTGAAAGGATTAACTGTGTAAAGTTAACCACCCAGGGGCAGATCCAGGTGTTGTGAGGCCTGAAACTTATAAAAGTTGAGAGAGGGGTGCCTTTAAGAAAAAAGAGTACAAAATTATGAATACTAAATTATGCATGAAAGTGAATATTTTAGAATGACAAAAGACAAATTTTGAAAAGCTGATAAAAACCACAAACACACAATTCGGAAAAACAATGCAATGTATTTATTGATTAACTGCTGAAGATACCTCTATAATATAACATACTACTTTTCCAACAACTGGTTTAATCTTTGCACATTTCAGACCTGCTTATTTTTCATTACTCTCTTAGCTTGGTAATAGACCTCCTACAGCACATTGTCATGGAGCGATATGATCTCGGGCCCTTTTGAGACAGCTCAGTGAGGGGAAGAGTATTCCTAGAAGCCTTCATACAGTGGGGATGGCTTGTGATAAGTTAATTATACATGAAAGTACCTGAGAATGCCATAAACATAGCCCACTAAACCCAAACTATATGTATATGTCCCAAGTCAACTTTCTCTGTGCTGAATCTCTACCTCCTGAAAAGGGGAAATTGTGATGGAGAAAACATTTGAATGGCAGGAGGCAGTGTTCCTAAATGACTGGTTGCAATAGCTGATTTTTGTAAAATTTACAAAAACATGTTTATATGAAAACATAGCTTGGGTCCCTTCCTGGGCCTTGGAAAAAACCTGTGCAGAGAAGGGTTTCCTGAAGCTTTAGCCTCAGTAGGTTCACAGCATATCTGCCTATGCAAATACCACTTAAACATGTACCCCAGATTAGAAAAGGAAGTCTTAACTGACAAGGACATCGGCTTGTGGGTTTGCATGTATAATTTTCTAGTTTCAGTCTATTGCAGTAGATTAAACTCCAACTTCAAAGATGGTAAGAGAGTCCCAGACTGAATAGCTAAGATTAAAAAGACTTCAGGTCAAGTGAGGGAGGCAGAGGGGAAAGCTAAAAAAAGTTTTGGAAGGCAGTCAACATAGACAAACAAGGAAAAAAATTAAAAAAAAAAAAAAAAACAGTTTGTAAGATGACTCTGAACTGAAAAATTTGTGAGCAAATAAACTGAAGGTTAGAACACTGAGGAATGAGTTATCCCCTGGATAAAGCAGTCTTGTTTGCCTTAAGAATAAAGACTGTATGATGTTTTCAACTATGTATGGCCCCTGAACAGAACTAGATTACATGGTTAAAATAATGAAGTCTTAAAAGACTGTTTTCTTGGATTATCAGAAGAAAACGGGTTCCTGACCCAGTTCTGTCACTAACAACTAATATGCCCCTGACAAACTCACGAAAACTCCTCAGTGTGACTCCTCATCTTCAGAGACAGTAAAACTAGACCATCTCTAAGGCTTCTTGTACTTCAACAAAGTCTGTGATTCTACATGTATTTTCTTTAAATACAATACAGTACCATTTTTAGACATAAGAATTAATATATTCCTGCAGCTAAAATGGTTTTAAAATAGTAACCTAATTGGAAAAGATTATTTGACAACTTCTTCAGATGTCAATGGAAGTATGAGCTATAAAAATTCCATAATGACATTGTTGTACAGAGTGGAACGAAGAAAGATTCCAAAGAATCTCTTTGTAAGAAATGCCATTGGTATTTACATAGTCTGAAGAAAAAGAAACAAGAGAGACATGATTCCCATAGGGATTTGACATCCTGAAATTTGAATTTTTAACATAGTTTATCCTTTAAGGAAACAGTACTCAAACCTGTGCATAATTTAGACTTTTTTACTCATCCCATGTGCTCTATGTGCTAGTTTGAATTATTGAATTCTGGAAAATAGAAATGAGAGAAATTAAAAAAAAGAAATCACAACATTCTTAGTACTAATCATGTGCAGCACAGTAGACAAAGTTATAGATACATATCACTGAAGACCTAACAGGTTATCCAGCTTCACCCCCTACTCACTCAGCTCTGCCTTATTGAAATACACAAATCCTTGTGACGTGTCTGGCTTAATTTTAACAATCTGTGTTGGCTTCTGTGATTTCCTCTGGGAAACAAATAATTGGATAAGATTGGATATTAAGGAACATTTTCTGACTACTTAATTTTCTTGTGCCCAAATTTCATGTAATCACCTAGAGTCATTCACTTTCATTTTATGATGAACAATTTATCATCATAATCTAAAAGCATTTACCACCTGCTCTTGATACCATCCAGCATTTTGGACAAAGCAAGTTAATGGGTAAAGTCCCATTGTCTAAAAAAATTCTCAACCTCCTGAGTCTGGCTGTTTCATGTGTTCAGATTGCTAGTGCATTCTCTTCTACCAATAATGTTACCACATCAATCACCTTATTTCCTTCTTTCCTCATCAGTGTCTATTTCTCCTCAATGTCTTCTTCCTTAGTGCTAATGCATACTTAGTCAGTTTCCACTTTCCCAGGAGCTTTTTCATAGTTTGAGCCTATCAAGCGTGATCCTCTCCTCATTGGGCAGAGATTATTGCTCAATGTGGCCAGAGTAAACCACGCTGAGGCAGAGGGAGGAATAATTCCTTCTCCTGGCTAAACCTCTCTGTTTTAGAAAGGGCAACTACATTTGTTTCTTTGCAGGCCTCAGGGATGTTTGCTCTCAGATTTCCTCCTAGACCTCACAATGTTCTGCTTGGCATGATCAGAGGATTGTCACCTGGTACAGGCAGGAGACTGGAAGGTGAAGGCAGATGGAAGGGAAAAGCCAGGCATTTTCTTCTCTCTGCTTTGGACAGAGCAGCAACTGTGTCTTCAGAGGTGACTATGACTCGTCTGTGACTCCAGCTCTTGCCAGTTACCCAGCCTCTGGGCTCCCTTCATTCTGCAACTCTTTCTTGTCTTAGCGTCCATTGTGGCTTCCTGATATTGCTAATCTCTAGTTTGTTCCACCATCCCCTTCCAGTGTGACTACTTAGCTCTTCCATCACTGCATAACTAATTTCCTGCATTATATTTGTTATTTTAAGTACTCAGAGTGTTTTTTGTTTACCTGGTTAGAAAGTGCCTAAAAGAAGTGGTCCAAGGAAACAAATCCTCAATAAAGGACGGCGACACAGCTCTTCACATGTCAGAGCATGAGTGGAAGAACGACCTTCTTGAAGGCGAAAAGGGAATTTTAATAATCCATGGAATGCCATGGCATTGCAACCAACTAAACTATCAAGGCGCTAGGATACTAAGTAAACTGTATTGTGGAGGTTGGAAAAGTATATTTGACAGGCCTACCAAAAAAAAAAAAAAAAAATCATAATAATATTATCAACTCAGGGCTTTTAACTCTCAAGTCAAAATACAGGTAGAAAACCAGAAAGCTTCCATGACAGGTTTAAATTAATTTTTATCTACAATAGACAGGGGTCAGGCATCCCTGAACATCAGAACTAAGGTCTCATGGTTAAGGTTAAAGAATTATGAAGCAAATTGTTCAGAGAATATGATGGTTAAGTTCGTGTCAGTTTGGCTATACTAAGGTGCCCATTTGTTTTGCAAACACCAGTGTAGATGTTGCTAAGAAGCTATTTACATGTGATTGACATTTAAATCAATTGACTTTAAGTAAAGCAGATTGCTCTCCATAATGGGGGTAGGCCTCATTCAATCGGTTGAAGGCCTTAGAAGCAAAAAAAAACTGAGGTTCTTGAGGAAGAAAGATTTTTGTCTGAAACTATGAATAGATATCCTTCTGGAACCCTTTACCCTCACTGCCTGGCCTACCAAATTTGAACATAAGACTACCAGAATTTCCAGCCTGTCACCGGACTTACAGATTTTGGACTTGCCAGATCCAACAATCACATGAGCAAATTCTTTTAACAAATCAATCTTTCTCAATACAGAGATAGAGATATAGAGAGATAGATAGACGTAATATTAGAGAATCCTGACTAAGATGACTTTGCTAAGTTTTATGTGTAAATTTACGTTAGGTAATTAGTGAGGAAGAGATGCTACTCCTAGACTTAGGCGCAAACTTTTGGGTGTTCTCGGATGAAGGTGGAAAAGCTAGACTTCCATATTTTCCAAAAATTCATTTTCCAGTTGAAACGGCCTCCTCCCCTTTTTTCTAAGGGAACTAGCTTTCTTTCATGACCCACCCACCCCATCCATCATTGCCTCTAGACTGATAACCAGAGTTAGATTCCAGACAAGCCTAGAGGAAAATCACTAGTTATTTTAGCAGAAGATAGCCTACACCCCACTGGAATGAGAGCACTTGCTCGTATTTATCATTTGTTACCTAGAGAGCACGTGCGTGAATAGATCCTAAGTGTGTTAGACTAAGGAGGAGGCATATAAAGGTGGGTTGTTGGATTTCATGTGCTAACTTCAGCAGCTCTGAAATGGCTCTAACAATTTGCTTCATTGACTGACTAAAACATGGATTCAACAAAGGACTATGTTTAATGATGTCAGGATGACAGACTTCCCTATACTTATTTACAATTTGCTTTCTCTCCCTCTAACAAAGGTACCCTGAATGTTACAGAAGACATTTTCATCACTGGGGCATTGAGAAATGCTTTAGAAAAGAAACGTTAGGATTCTTGAAAACTTGGCTCTGGCTGTCATTCAAGAATTAGGGATGATGGAGGGAGTTGTCATCCTTGAAGTAGTCTCCATGATTTTAATGGGAATTATGGGATCCCAGAGTGGCAGAGGAGAGGTGGCAGTACTTAACCCACTCAATTGTCATAACTGGACACAGGGATGAATGTCAATCAGAGTGTTTTCGCCTATGGCGATCCAGAAAGTGATTAATTGATTATAGGGTCTTAAAGACTTGGCGAACTGCTCCACTAAAGACTACTGCCTAGAAAACCCTATGGGGAAGTTCTACTCTGGCACTTGGGCTCACTATGAGTGGAAATTAATTCAACGGCACCTAACAACAACAATAACATAAACAAAATAAATAGTCATAAAATATTTTTTAATCTATGTTACAGGAAATATGCTAAATCCAGGAAGTAGAAATTTTACTTAACTCACCGCCATGTAAGTCATGACTTCTCACTCAGTTTCTCCTCTCAGCCTAATCCACAAACCTGACCCCTTTTATTGAAGGAGATCAGGGTCTCTTGATGTAGGCCCTGCAACACTGGCATGAGTATGTACTGTAAATATTCCTCCAAGCATTCCCTGGAAGAGGATGTGGACATTTACCTGTGACTGTGCATTGGGAAAGGAAAAATCCAAGATGTTGTCTCTGAGTTAACACTAATCCCTAGGGATCTGAAATGCCACTATGGTTCACTGGGCCAGAAGTTGAGTGATGAGTGGAGTCTTGGCCTGAGCCCAACTCAGAGAGGGCTCTTGGGTTTACAGAACCATCTTCAGGTTATTTCCCCAGTTT